TTAAATTGATAGAAAGGTTTAATCGTAGTGAATTGGTAATCTTCTTTTTATCTGGTAATATATTAATTATTTCTTTACTACAATTTTACATAGATATATACTGTGTTACAGAACTTAAAGCATTTTTTACTAGGATAAAATTTTTACTAGGATGGGTTACGCGATCCCTACATGAAAGCCTTCAAAAAGTGTCCGGTAGAATTAGACAAAGAGAGAACGAGGTAGAGATCAATATGCTACTGGGTAGAAAAAGACAGCTTGACCTGTATCAGTCATTATTTCCTTTCTTCCGCCGGTGAGTCACCGGTTATATTTTTCTGTACCTGCCATGTAATCCATTCTGTATATCGATAGCGATAAAATACTTCATTTTCAAAACAATTATTTATAATGCGCATTGTAATTGTCCATAAAATTGTTGCACGTTAATACATCAAACAATTTCGTTTCTACACTTGACGTGTAGTTCAGCATAGCATAGTATAGCGTCAGTTTTAATACATTTTTACGAGGGAACGTAAAATAGTGAAATATAAAACTTACTGATCATATCAGCTTGAAATTTGTATTCTAATATAAATAATGAAGATCAATTACACTCTTTTGCCTCTAAAGATGCATCTTCTTTTCTTTAGTGCGGGTGAGTAATCGTTAAATCTACGGCGGATGAGTGATCGTTAAATCTCGTAATATAACAACAATTCACTTAATTCTGAAATACTTGCGTGGTAACTAAAAAAACATTTAAAATAAATCACATATATCAATAATTAAAAAAATTATATTATCGAGTATCCGTAAATGTAATTACAATCATTTTTCTTATTTTATAGCTATGGGTTCCATTAAATTATATGTACCAGTTTTCGGCAAGCAACTTGGTGTTTCGTCATTAATTATGGGTAGCATTATCGCGATTTTACCTATTGCACACCTGATTGGTAAATTAATACTCGGTTACGCCGCGGATTATTTTCTCGTCTGGAGAAAAGCGATTTTTATGGCATTGTTCACCGTAACGGGTATGTCTTTTGTTTTGATGTATTTTTTACCGGCTCTACCCGGTCCGATACTACCGGACCACCAGTTCCAAAATATCTCTTGCGAGTCTTTACTGCCTTGCGATAAGAATCATGTAAGTCTGTTTTCATGTAACTGTATAAATTTCCTAGAATCTAGATGAAACAATAATAATACAGGTTTCCTGTAACTGTTTAAAAATCTTATTCTCACGAAATAGAGCACCTTTACGTACTAATAAGATGTTTCATATGTCATCATATTACGTACTAATAAGATGTTTCATATGTCATCATCAACATAAAAATACCTTAAGATGTCAAAATCTTCTCAACACTCTAAATCTTTAACACAAAACTTAGTTATCAATATTTTTAGTATAAAACTTATTTTCAGTTGTGAATTTAAAAGTATGATTTATTTATTTATTAATTTTAAGCATGCGTTAGCAGTCGCATCCTGTAACGGTACGAAAGACACAACGTGTCATTGGATGTGTGAAAATATGAATTTTTCCATGCGATTATCTTTTCATGCAGCCGAGAAGGAAGCAATCATCTCATCGGACACTACGTGCTTATTAAATATTAACGATACGTCATTGTGTCGAAAAAATGTAACAGCAAATTATAATTGTAACGTTACATGTGATAACTTCGAGGACGATGAATGTCTATATACATCTATTACCTTTTGGAGTTTCTTTATCTTGATGTTTTTTGGTCAAGTTGGTTATTATGTTTCCTTGAGCGTAAACGATACAATTTGCTTCGACATATTAGGTATATAATTTCATAGCCGTATATATCCCATTGTCAGAGCAATTCGCTGAATTACAAGAATAATATAACCATACCAAACAAATTTGAGCAATAAGTTATTTTACAAATACTTTCATATAATATTATAATGTAATGAGAAAATACTTTACAATAAAGTTTAAATTCCTCAGGTAAAGATGGACAAATAAAATTCGGCAAGCAGCTTATGTGGAACTCAGTTGGTTTTTCTCTCACAACACTTCTATCTGGTTATACAATAGATTTGTGGTCGCGAGGGAAAGTCTACAAAACTTATACACCGGCGTTTATTTTCGTGCTCGTATTCATTTGTATAGATTTGATTTGCTATAGAAAATTAAAGGTGTTTTATACATTTAGAAGAAAAGACAAATAGTGCGGTAGTTTAATTTTAATTTGGTATTTTTAATTGTTGTTATATGTTTTTATCGTAGCTGCCACTGATAAAATCGCCAAATATATTAAAAGATGTATATATAATTTTGAAATTGGTACCAATTGTTATATTTCTATGTACCGCTATTTTTGCTGGAATTTTTGAAAGTCTCGTAATAAATTTCTTTTTTTGGTAATTTTTTACCTAATAAAACGTAGAAATTTATGTTAGAGAATTAATACTACAGTAAATTGTTTTATTAGGTACATAGAAGATCTTGCTATGGAGTCTGGTTATATGAGTCAAGTTAAATTAATACAAGGTTTAACGACATGCATAGGTTTTCTCGGTAGCAAAGTAATATTCTTCTTTATGTCTGGTAATGTTAAAAATGTGTTTTCTTTCATGTTTTGCAACATAAGATATAATTGAGCATAACAATGAGTTTTATCTTTTTTAGGCAATATATTGAAAAGATTTGGATACGGTTACACACTTACATTTTGCTTTTTATGTTACGCGATGAGGCTAGGATTTCTATCCTTAGTGCCAACGCCATGGCACATAATTCTGGTGGAGGTTGTCTTGCAAGGGCCATCATATGCACTTCTTTACACAACAGTAGTAACGTATGCGAACGTAATTTCACCGCCTGGCACATCGGCTACCGTTCAAGCAGTTGCGTCTGGAATGAAGGATGGTCTTGGTAATCTTTCTCAGTCATTAGATATCAAAAATCGTTTTACAATAAAAGTAATTATTATAAAGAATACGAGTATATTTACTTTTCTAATAAATTTAGCGATTTATTAAATGTAATCTTGCAATATTTTTAGGATATTCGATTGGTGGTTTCTTAGCTGGTTTTTTAATTAAGACAGTTGGTAGTAGAATGACTTTCAAAATATATTCAGCGCTCGCAGGACTTTCTGCTATAGGGTATATTATACTTTATACTGTATACTTAAAACATACAACAGTAGGTAAGAAATCAAGTAACTCAATGTGTCGAAAGGTGACAAATTTCTTCAGATTGTGAAAATAAAAAAAACTATATCTTTTTATTGCAGACACACGAAATAACGTTGCATGGAGAAAGCCAGACGATGCGCGGAGACAATGTGACGTAGACGAAATTTCATAATTATTTTGATAAATAATAATATATTATAAAACATTTTAATTTTAACATATCTTGTGATATGAAAACTTAATGCAAATCATTATTTAATATTTTTATCGGAGTACTGTAGTTGTTGTAAACACGTGGTTTATACATTATCATCATATCAATTTTAATTGCAAATTATTTTACCAATATAAAAATTATATTTATTTTCGTTTGTATACAGTAACTGTTAATTATTTGATACCATGATATAATTACTTGATAATTTTTATTTAATTATTTGTAGATCGTATCGTGTAAATTAAACTAATCATTTAGTTCAAAAGTACGAACGAGCTACTATAAAGATTTATCCCTTTATGTTTGTACGTGACAAGTTTTGTTTAACGGTTATATACACAATATGTTAAAGATTCGATTTGATTCAAATGTGTATTATTTATGCAAATATCGATGGATAATGTAATATTATTATGTTGACAGTTTCTGCTTGATATACAGAATTCGTAATTTTACGACGAACATAGCATTGCAAGTTAAACAGAAGGATCGTAATTTCTAAGTAATCTCGTGTCGTTATCACATTCTTATATATCATGCTGCAAACACAGGGTATTATCATATTGCCAGATGTTTCGTAATCGCGAGTCCTTGGAGCAATTTAGAATTGATTTTAATTATAATTTGATTTTTCATAATAACCACATATCTTTATTGATAATCTCGTAAACGATACGTGCCGCGAACAGTCGAATTGTTGGTATAAGCAAGCCGCAAGATATTCGCAGCCTTATCAATCTCCCTCACGATAAATCTCATTTGAGTACAGCGCGTGTCGTTGAACGATTTATTAGATTCACGTGCGCGTATCGTTTATTTATCGAAGTAACGAAGGGCAATGTTTCGCGCGACTATCCAGTACATTCGATAGCCATTCGGACTCGGTTTTAAGAGATCATCTCATTGTATGTACGGCGCATCCCCGTCGAAAGTCATCGCGTTCATTCTGTCGAAACTACCGCGACGTGATCGTTGTAATTTTAGCGCGTCGTGTCAGTGGCGTCAGTGCGGCTAAACGCTTCCGCTGGAAGGAGAAACGCTCATCCAGCGAACGCTGAAACATTTATGACGCGTCAAAGCTCTCGATTACACACGCATAACACGCAGCCTCCTCATTTAAGCTCTGTATTGTATATTATCTACTAATATATATAGCGCAGGTACGTTTCGACTTAGGCTGCATTCCGATATTCACTGTCAGTACTGCAAATCTATATTTTACGTCACGTATACTATAGATTTTCAGTACTGAAAGTTGCTGACAGTGAATATCGGAATGCAGCCTTAGTAGCGCTGCCAGGATTCGCTGACAATTTTGGACTTTGAAACAGCAAAAATGCAGCTTATGTCAGCGGCAGTATACTGTCAGTGCTGTCAGCATGTTTCGAAGCATGCAGCCTTTTAGTTGCGCTCGCCCACTTTCTCCTCTTCCATTCCGTCGAGGCTCAAGTACGCGGCTTGTCTTTCCTATATATGCATCTCTCCTCTCTCTGCGTTCCGCAGCTGCAGAAAGTGCAAGAGGCGCATCTGAAACTGAGGCACATCTATTTGATCGCACATACACAGCACATACACGTTGCGATTGAAAGCTATATCGCTGATAGCACGCGGCCTATCGTGCAATTAAGAGGCTCAATCTACGAACGAGAGATCGTCGGAGCGCGAGTTTGACGCCGAGCGTGCAGGCAACACGCCAACACGGTGAGTTCGTCGCGACAGTTCCTCTTCTCTCCTCACGAATAATAAAAATAAATCGGTGCCGCGAAGTGCTTGGCGAACGAAGAGGGAAACTCGCTGGGAACCTTCCTGAGAAACCTTCGGACCTGACAGTGACTAAGAGACAACCTGGAAACATGCATTGGTTCTTGATACGACGTGCAGATAACAGCATCGCGCGACGCCATTTTGGAATCGTTTGTAATATCGTTTGAAGTTTTTGGACTGGCGAAGAATACCTCGAGGTTATCGATACTATCGCGAATCGAGAGGATTTGAATTCAAATGCGCGCATGGCGCCGACGATAATCTTCGAATCGAATGTAATGTTTATGCTTAATATGTATGTTAAGATTGTGTAATAATAATATCCTCGAGTAAGTTCATCGTTACGTTTTATTAGTTTGCAGCATAGCGCCAATTATAGAGTGAGAAAACGCCGAAGGAGCGAGACACGAGATTAGTTGGGCTTATCAGTGTCGGCCTACACTCGCAAATAAATCATGAAAATTAATTACACGCAACTGCCTATAAAGGCGCATTATTTCTTTTTTATGGCGGGTGAGTATGTGCTTCACATTTTAAAGCAAAGATTTATCTAATTTTCTTAAGAATTTTACCATTTTTCTTAATTTTATTAAATTCTTTTTGGTTCTTTTACATGATACAGTTCATAAAAAATACGTAGACATAAAAATATGATATTTGTTAACATTAAAGAATGATAAAAATATACGTTGGTACATATTTAATGTTAATAAAACTCGACTATTAATATGCCCTTATTATACAAAAAAAGATTATGGTTATAATATGTTAGGGCAACTACAAAAATTATAAAATAATAATATTATTAGGTATAATTATCGTTTTTATTTTAGCCATGGGTCCTATTTTGCCGTTTTTGCCAGTTTACGGCAAGCAACTCGGTGTTTCGCCGTTAATTATGGGTAGCATCACCGCGATTTTGCCTATTTTATTCCTGATCGCGAAACCAGCATTTGGCTTCGTCGTGGATTATTACCGCGCCTGGAGAAAATTGATATTTATAGCGCTGCTTGCCGTAACAAGTGCCTGCTATATTTTTATGTACTTTTTACCGGCCCTGCCCGGTCCACTGCTACCAGATCATCAATTTCAAAATGTTTCCTGTGCGTCTATACCATCTTGTGATATGGACTATGTAATTTTTTTTATTTTCTTACAATTGCGCATCTTTCAAATAATAAAAATTCCTGTAACGATTGATTAGCTGACTTTCATGATAATTTGTAAATTCATTTTTATACATCTAGGACAATTTAATTTTTTTAAACTTTCAGTAGTTTCTAAATACTATAAGTCTTTTTAAAAATATCTGTATATTAGTGCTTTTAAGAAATAATATATTTTTAAAGTGATTTATTTTCTTTTTAAGCACACGTCAGCAATGGCATCATGTAACGGTACAAAAGACGCTACATGTCATTGGGTCTGCAAGGAATATGTGAATTTTTCTACGAGATTATCTTTTCATGGGATTACAAAGGAAGCAGTGATTTCGCCGGATACCACATGTTTGTTAAATATTGACGAGGCGTCATTGTGTCAAGTAAATATAACGAAGAATTTTAATGTATGTAACTGTAATGTTACCTGCGATAATTTCGAAGATAATCATTGCCTATATACATCCATCACCTTCTGGGGATTCGTGCTCTTGATGTCTCTTGGTAACATCGGTTTTAACGTTTCCAATTGCATAAGCGACGCAATTTGCTTTGACGTATTAGGTAAGTGATCTGCATACAATATTTTAATGCTACGTAAAATATAAAAATGCCTGTATGTATAACATACAGCACAATTTTTTCAACGATACAAATGGTTTAACGATTTTATATATAATATATTAATTCAATTAGTAAAAAACATGTCTTTTTCAACAAATTACATTACACCTTTTCAGGTGAGGGTGGACAAATGGGATACGGTAGGCAGCGAGTATGGGGCACAATCGGTTTCGGTGTGGCAGCGCTTTTAGCTGGCTACGCAGTAGACTTGTGGTCGCAAGGGGAAATCTACAAAACTTATACACCGGCGTTTCTCCTTGTGTTTGTATTTACTTGTATCGACTTGATTTGTTGCAGAAAATTGGAGGTGATTTACATTAAGAAGATTGAAGTGAAAATAAATGAACAGTAGTGTATAGTCTTTTCTTCTTAGGATTTTCATCTTACGTTATATATTCTTCATTACAGCTGCCACTCATGTCAGGATCGTCAAGCATACTGAAAGACGTATGCATGCTTTTGAAATTGAAACCCATCGTTATATTTCTATGTTTTGCTACCCTTGCGGGTATCCTTGATAGCTTTATGATTTACTTCTTATTCTGGTAAATCTTTATCTCTATCAACATATATTTTTGTTCATTGTCACATTCGATAAAATTTCGAAATTTAATTAAGCCGAATTACATTCAGTGTATAATTTATTGTATTAGGTATTTGGAAGATCTTGCTATGGCGACCGGTTATATGGGCGAAATTAAATTGATAGAAGGTCTAATCGTCGCCGCGCAGACTCTCGGTGGCGAGATAATATTCTTCTCTCTGTCCGGTAAATTATTTCTTCCCTGTCGCAGTTTGTGACGTTTAGAGCGTTTGCATAATTAAAGATATCGCTGTGCCTAGTATAATGTCGAGTCTCTTCTTTTCAGGCAAAATACTGAAGAAGTTTGGATACGGTTATACCTTTACGTTTTGTTTTGTATGCTACGCGCTGCGGCTGGGATTAATATCTCTCGCTCCAACGCCATGGTGGATGCTTCCGGTGGAATTTGTCATGCAGGGACCAACATATGCGCTTTGCTATACAACAATAGTAGCGTACGCGAGCGCAGTATCACCACCCGGTACGTCAGCTACTGTTCAAGGAATTGTGGCAGGGATGGACGACGGTTTAGGTAAATTTCTCTTTCTGGTTATCAAGAATTATTTTATAACAAGAAGAGCTTATATATACTTAATCCAAATGTATATTTTCCCAATTAATCAAAGTTTATCGTCGTTGAAATATTGTTGTCTTCATCAGGTTTCGCGGTCGGTAGTTTGATCGGAGGTATTTTATACAAACAAGTTGGTGGTGCAACGACTTTAAGAATATTTTCAGTACTTGCAGCATTTTCTGCGATTATGTACCTTATTCTTCACACTTTGTACTTAAAACATAGAACACCAGGTAAGGGATCGAGTATCTTTAATTGTCGGAATCTGGTGAAATTTTTTTAGAACATTGTAAAGAAGTATAAGGGATTTCTCTTTTATTGTAGATGCACGAAAAAATGTCGAATGGAGGAAACCTGACGATGCACAGAAACACTGTGTTGTAGCAGAATGATACGTATTTTATATATCTTTGTTGTAAATAATATACAATAAAAATAAAATATATGTTTCATACACATCTTAAGATATTATATATATATGCGTAATATAAATATATATAATATAAATATATATGTCTTAAGATAAAGAAACTAATGTAAAACGTATTCTGAATATTAAAAATTAATATAAAAATTCTTCATTATGCAATAAACTTCATTTTTATTCGGGAGAAGTCATCTATAGATTTAAAAATAAATATATACGCATGCTATTATTATGTTCTATGCAAATTAAAAAAACAAGTAAAACATATATGAAATATATAGCAATAAAAAAAAAATGAGAAAATTATTTCATTTTTATTTAAAATTCGAAGGAATGTGCCATCAAATATGTGATCGCATATTTATCATTTGTTGAAATTATATGTTATATATAGACAAAGTTCAATTGAAGTTGCAGGGCTCGTAAAGGATAAAATATATTATTCAGGACACAAAAGGTATGCACGCGCGCGATGCGAGTGAACGAAGAACAGAGAGCGAAAATCTCGCAGCCATACTTCTTACATACCCTGGTGAAATAATTTCTTATATTTTCTCAGAAATTTTGTAAGAATTATTGAGACTTATGAAAAAATATATAAAATTTCTCATACTTTCGGAAATAATTGGATGAGGATTTTCGGGATATTTCAGTATCCGTATATGTATATGTAAAAATTTCTGATAAATTACATTTTCTCGTATTTATTCAGATTTGTACAAAGATGTGTTGGCGAGAAAAATCTGAAATATTTTATTATTTTGTCTGAATTTTTCTAAAGAAACGTTCCAATTCCTATGAAAAATTCTGAGCGTTCTGATAAGAAAGTTTAAATTTAATTTCTATAAAAATTTTGATTAATAACAAAAAAAATTCTGAGACATTTTTCCACCAGGGTAATCTTACATAATCTTACATTCGGTTATATTATGGGTAATGCAAAAGTACTTACAGGGATTAGAAGCACGCTGAATCGGCTGAATTCAATATTTTTAACATCAACGCGGTTGAATCACGTGATAAACGCGCTGGACCTGTTGGAACATGCTAGAAGCTGGAAGTGTATGTATCAGTTATCAGTGCCTCAGTGCCTTCAGTGGCTAGAACAGGTTAGAACGGGTCTCAACAGGTTAGGAAGATGACGACAAATACCATGCGTCTGGATATTCTGCCGAACGATGTGTTGCTAATGATCTTCGATCATTGCGATGAACATGATTTGTTGCGGCTCAGCGAGGTGTGTAGCCGATTTTACGACCTCGTGCGCAGGTCGGACATGACCTGGATCAAGAAACGCAAACAATTTCTCGTCACAAATCAAATGTCGGAAAGATTTCGTGAGAGGTACGTTACAGATTGTACTCGAGCTTAAACTTCTGGAATTTCTCTTATTTGGCTGCAGAAAAGTAACTTTAGTATCGCGATAAAATAACGATATCATCTATATTTATTGCTGTGTATCTAATGTGTATATCCACGAGACGTTTCAATATTTACAAATTTTGTAATTTTGGAAGAATGTTATTCTCTTTTGATAATTTTATGTATATGTGAAAGAATCAAATACATGGAATAGTGGAACAAAAATTGATAACCGCTTGTTTTTTTTTCCAGATGTAATACAATATTGCCCCCACGTTCAACATGTTTCGTATCACAAAAATGGCAGTATGGAATATACAGAAAGGAAATGGTATTTACGCAGAAAACAAAGCTGATGCCGTGGCTGAGATTGACAAACGACATACTCTGGTGGTGCGGCGGCAATGAGCTTCTCGGCTTTGGCCGCAAAAGAACAATGATAGATAGCACGTATGGCAACAACCATTATACAGGAGAAATCTACACAGGAGGTGACATCTGCAAATTTGTTCCTTGGAAAGACTTCGTCATATGTGGCTATACGTACGTATATATATATATATATTTAGCTATAATTGTATTTGTATCTTCATTATTTTTTATTTCTATCATATAATTGTTTCAATACGTCATCAAAAACCCTCCACAGGAATGGCGCTATAAGCTACTTTTTAAAGAGGTATGGCAAAAACAAATGTTGCATTGTAAAACTGTTACTGAACAATGATTCTTCCGTCAATGCTATAGATGCCACCTCGGAAAATGTTATTGCAGGTTTAGAAAGTGGTACAATAAAGGTAAAGTTTAAAAAAATCTGCTATCTGATGCGTACGATGACAATGTATCATGCAAGATTCATTTCTGTTTAGATACAAAGACATCCAGATATGGATACGTCTGAAAGAAATGTTTACAACGTAAGTGAGACCTGTGTAAATCTAAGGGATAAAGTGCGATCGCTCTCAGTTGATCCTACGGGAGTAAAATTTGCCGTTGGCTCAGCTGGAACTACTCAGGACATCCCACCACTACATGTAATTGATATCGAAAGGTATGCGTAATATTGTAATTAATTACTCGATCGCCATAACCCAGGTAGCAATTAATGTCTAAAAGACATCATAAAGACATCTTTAAGATTTCTGGCACCTTAAACACATCTTTACGATGTCTTTTGGACATTAATGCTACCTGGGAAGGTCTATGATCTGATGATATATCAGATAGGCTTTAATACGTATCGAATCATTTGCACCAAGCTAATGGAGAAATTTCAGTCACACAGAGATCGATACAATGCGGCATAAGTGGCGACACGGCGCTGGGATATTAGACATGGTATGGGACGATCCCAACACTTTGCTCACTTGTGGCTATGATACGTACATCCGAAAATGGGATTTGAGGTAATTTATCTCGACTGTTCAGTCAGCTTTATGTAACATTAGCACTTGTGATTTCTTTCAGAACTGAAAGATGTGTCTCTAAATGGGTGGATCCAACCGATGCATCATTATATTGTATTTCATCCGACCATCGGTATACCATGGTAACAGGAACGCAGTATAATTGCTTAGCCGTTCTGTGGGATCAAAGGAAGACTGATTTCGTTCAGGTTCATATCAAACTGATATACGCACTTTGTACATTACAAGATAAGTTGTTCATGATTCATGACAGACTTCTTTTCATTATTTCTAGCTGTATTACGTGAATATGCGAGAATCATCTCGACGCAGCCCGATCTATTCTATACAATTTGATAACACACATCTGTACTGCGCTACGGATAAACACGTGATCGAATTAAACTTCTCTGGCCGTTTACATCAGAAGTTTGATTACAAGGCGATGTACATTCCATTGGATAAACACCATCGTATGCGTATAAATTATTGAACACCTGCAGGAACAGTACAAACCAAACGTTTCATGATAGAAGTTTAATTGTGAAGAGAAGGGATTAAAAACATGAAGAACGAAATCCAATCCTGAGATAATGTAATGTACCTTGTATAAAAATAATGCTTCTTGTAAAAACAGCGACACATTACTTTATTACTTTATTACATTACCTTATGTATAAACTGTAATGATACAATTGCAGTTATTGTACTGTATATAATTATATGCCAATACCTCATAGTAATTTATGTATGTGAATAATTCGTATTCGTATGACATTTTTTTTCTAGATTCACACCTTAAACATATTGACATATAATTAAGAGTAATCTGTATCTGTATAATAAAGAAAGTCAATTTTATTGCAACAATATTGCAGCAATTTATTATTATTGCGATGCATACATAAAAGCGAAGACGATATAGGTTTCCCATACATATATGTAAGATATATAACGATTATAAAATACAAAAAAAAAAACAATTTTTTCGAACAACGGCAAAGATTTAATCTACTAATAAGAAACGCTTTATTTAACTTTGGACTACTTCCACTGTAAAATTACAGTGCAGTTACAAACTTAGATAACAAAAATTTGAAATGTTATGAAATAAATATGTTAATTGATGGCGTGCTATACACGAATATTGCAAATGCCATGTTAATCAATATTTAGATGAAAGAAATAGACATTTACTACGATAGCGCCTGCATACAATACAGCTTTACTCATCTCGTTTGAAAGAGATACATCTTATATCCCAAAACCAATATTAAGTATCTCATTAAGTAATCTTCTAAGATCATTTAGATTCTTTTTTTTTAAATCACTCATCAAAGCATCGTACGAATCATGTAATTGAGAATACCGCCGTGTTTAAAGTAAGTCAAGTCAACTTCCGTATCAAATCGTGCAATCACCTCGAATTTCTTGCCGTTGTCCGTGTTCACAGTGATCTTTTCTCCAGGTTGGCAATTCGGGGGAATCGCAACATCGTATTGCTCATAACCTGTTAATCCTAAGGACTCTGCGTTTTCCCCAGGAAGATACTGTAGTGGGACAATGCCCATACCCACAAGGTTAGATCTGTGAAGAAATAAATAAATTTAAATATAGAGGTGCGTGTTAAATAAAAGCAAATGGATTTCTTGAAAAAAAAAAAAAAAACTGCATACTTTTTATTCAAAATTATTTACTTTAAACAAGTTAACTTTTAACTAAATCTTTTTTAAAAGAAACTTATTTTACAATTCAATGGATCGAAAATAAATAATAATTTGAAAAGGACTTGCCTGTGTATTCTTTCATACGACTCTGCTATGACTGCTCGAATACCAAGTAGATACGGCCCTTTGGCGGCCCAATCTCTGGAAGATCCGGATCCGTATTCCTTGCCAACCAGAGCGATCAGAGGCGTCCCATCTTTCACGTATCTCTCGGCCGCGTCGAATACGTCCATCTAAATTCAACCAATTATTATTAATATGTTCGCTATCAATGTATATTTTAAAAACTGTCCATTACAGATGTTTTTAAGCAATTTTATTCGGTATGTTTAAGTTATACATAAAAGAAAATGCAAAACACATATGCGTATGACGTATGACGTTGATCCATGACGAGAATTAAAGTGAATTAATAGTAAACGAATATTATAAGTTAAATCGTGAAGCTATACGTGGTGAAAAATCAATGGGTAGAACAAGAAAAAAAACACGTACCTCTTCATTAGTTGGAATGTAAATTGTTCGTGGTCCCGCTTTACCAATGAATTTATTCACGAGACGAATGTTAGCGAATGTGCCCCGTGCCATCACGGCGTCGTTTCCTCTGCGCGAGCCATAAGAATTAAAATCTTTCGGCGTCAAGCTGGAAACGAAGATCGTCACAGTCAAGAATTCGGCCAGTTTGCGTGCGTTGTCTCTATAATCTCCATTGATGTCAAACTCACCCTCGATTAGCTAGATATCTCGCTGCTGGCGAATTACGCGCGATACTGCCCGCCGGGCTAATATGATCGGTCGTAACGGAATCTCCAAGATTTACAAGCACTCGCGCTTTAGTGACTGATTTTATTGGAGGCAACTCCTGCAAAGTTTATTTTTCACAAATAGAGAAATGACTAATATCCCAAATGACACAATTTTCAAGAAGTAAAAGCTAATATTAAGATTGGAAAAAAATTAAATTAAAATTCTTTTTGTATTCTAAAGAAAATTTTGAAGAAAGCTCAAATGTTTAAAGTATTTAGTGTGCAATAGATTATACATCACTCTAATGACCTTATATAAGTTATCGAAATAGGGTGGGTTTTTGATGTACGTAGAATTAACGTCCCACGGGTACAGCTTGCCCTCAGGTGCTACCAAATTTGCCCAACTGCCGCTACCATGCTCAATTTTACTGTAGACTTCTTTGAACATGGCTGGAATGACGTATTTCTGCTCAACAGCTTGAATTTCCGCTCTGGTCGGCCAGATATCTTGCAAAAATATTGGACTCCCATCGGCTTTGTGACCTTGAAAATAACAGATACATCGTGTAAATTATGTTTTATGCATCTCTATAAATCCAACGAGCGAAGAGGATTCTACGTCTTACCCAATGGCTGCTTCTCAAAGTCAAAGTTCACAGTACCGGCAATAGCATAAGCTATAACCAGAAGCGGGGACGCTAAGTAATTCGCTCGGGTATTCGGATGGACTCTGCCTTCAAAGTTTCTATTGCCTGACAGAACGCCACAGCAAACGAGTTCATTCTACAAGCAACACGCAAGATGTTTAATGACAAGCATTGCTTTGTATGCAAAGATATTAATGCTTATAAAGGAAAAACGAAATCGTTTAATCAGTTAATTAGATTATGAGTTTTGTGAAATTTATAATTTTTAAACGTGATTTTGTTCATTTCGTATATCGATAATTTATTGAATTATTTCTATTTTTTTGCAAAAACTGAAAAAACATTGAAGAAATGTCAAGTAGAATTCAAATGCAAAATCAATTCCTCTACCTTTTCAATAGTCTCGACTATAGCGTCAGGAAGTGGGCCGCTGTTTCCGATACAGGTCATACATCCGTAACCCACGATGTCGAATCCTAACTTTGTCAGATACGGAATCACACCGCTTTCCTGGAGATAATAAGTAACGACTCCGGAACCAGGTGACAATGATGTTTTTATATACGGCTCGACGCTCAAGCCAACTTCCACTGCCTTTTTAGCAAGAAGGCCTGTATATCAAAGAAGCGTATCTTACATTCGCAACATTTAACATCTTACATTTAATTTTTATAGAACTATGCTTTATATTCTTTCACGATTAAATAATAGTGCTGCTAATGAAAAAATGATAATAAAAAACTAAATGTTATTTTACTATCTCATCAATTATGTACTTCTTATCATTCTAATCTAAATTTCAAAGTATGAAACAAGTTTTTCTTAGGCAGACACAAATGTTGAAGCCATTAATGACTATTTTAATAATAATTACTTCAAAGCATCTAAAAAATTCGTTCTGTTTCAATTCGTTTCGTTTTCAATTCTATTTAAAATTTTAACTGCGCTTTTAAAATCTGAGAATTTGTAATGCGTCAGCAAAAGTTGACGATTTTAGATCTTCAAAGTAGCGCTAATAAACCAATTCTATTTCGCGTCCTTCGGTAAATCCTTTGTATCAATATAATAAATGATAAACGTTATGTAACAATTAGACATTTCTGACAAAATTCATAACATACCTGCTCCAAGCATAACGCTAGGGTTGCTGGTATTCGTACAACTGGTAATAGCCGCGATGACTACCGAGCCATGTTTCAATTCGTATTCTTTTCCTTCGTATTTAAACTTCCCTACGGTATCCACCTTCGCTGGGGTTAAACCGTAACCTTTGAAGCCTATCTGTAATGAAAATCACAATTCCATTATGAGAAAGTTCATTAGTGATCAATACTGATTAAATCTAAAGGTAAAGGAATGTTCAGAAATGTTTGAGAACAAAAGAAAAGACTAAACATCTCTCTGTCTCAATTTAACGCGTTTTTAATGCGAACAAAAAGAAAATGATTGGAGTGGATTAGATTTTAATAATTGAATTAAATCACATGTTTAAACAAATATTGCAAAATGTAGAAGTTTCAAATCAGCATTTAATATTCTTCCTCGTTTTTTACTTGTCTACTTTTGTACTTGTCTCTTAATGTATTAGTATTCCTTTGAAAAATATAGTATCTCTTTTGAAAAGCCAGAAAATTCGCAAATAATTATAAACTAAGGACGTAAAAAGAATCGTGCAGATTCTTTTTACGTGATTTATTATTTCAAGCCATCTGCATTTATATTTGTTGTCCCACAAATTTGGCAGGTTTATTAATGCGTCGAGTGGCATGACGAAATTCATTGCCCGATACACGATATGCTGAAGAAGCAATGCGAACTGGCAACGATCTTTAAGCAATCACGAGGTCTACGACCTCGTGTTCACCTTACGCGTGCACAATCCAATAATGACAATCCAGCGATGACAAGTATTTTTACACGAAAAAAGTGATAAACAAGTTATACCTTATTAGATATTGAAGAAAAGATAAATGTAAAATAATAAGATTATATGTATTTAATATTTTTAAATAAGAGCGATAATAAAGATAAAAAACTAAGAAATATCCATAATGATAGGAACATGCGTCATATTTATTTTAATTTTAATATAAGTATTTAATTATTTCACATTATTTTTATTTTGCAAAAATACTTTGAAAAAGTACTTGACTTGATTAATCGCAATCGAAATGTGCTAAACAGAAGATATGTAAATACTTCTTTTAACATATTGGCAACTAATATAGTGACACATAATCATTTGCTATTATATTAATATTAAAATTCGAAGTATAGGTTCCAATGGAATATTAATATTAATTCAATCAAAGAGTCCCCTTTAAACAAAATTTTCTATCGTTTTCCGTAAACATAAGAGATATCCCTTTCCAGACCCTAAGCACCGTGTCTCGATGGGAAATCCGAGCTCTTTCTATACCAGCATGCACGACAAAACGATGGCTCATTTGCAATGAAATGTGTGAGCTTTGCAAAACGAATGTAGTAGGATGTTGTATCAGCAATTTCAGCGCGAGCTCTGAATACGTCTTCCAGAACTTATGCGAAGTATGACCAAAGACTCTTGTCTTCTCCGACGAGGCGGACGGATCGATCGATCAGTGGTATGTGCGTAAGAATTATTTCTTTCTTCATAAATTGTTAAGTGCCACACTCGCATTCTCCTGCGTTCTGAAGAATAAGAGATTAATGTGTTCAACAGCTCACAGATATTTATCGGCGGCTGTTGAACACCAAATAAATAACGATAAATGTTATAAATATCGAAAATTTCAAGCAATAATCTGACACGTGCAATTACTCAGTGAGACTTATATGAAGATTTATGGGAAGATGACGCATAGTAATCGGAATTTTTGAAATAAGATAATGTGACATGTTTATTAATTTTGTTTATTTTAGATAAAGCCTTACCTTTTCTATTATAGAAAGCAATAATGATGCAGTGACGTTAATGATTAAATTGTGAATTCTAATCCTTTCTATAGACAAAAATAAATTAAAGTATATAATGAGAGTAATAATATATTTCTAGGCTGCTAATATAGTAAGCTTTAAAGCATTGTCTTAAAGTTATATGAAATAAAGAAATAAAGTTTTAATCTTTCAAATAATTAAAATACTAATACAAACAGTGAATAATATTATTAAAATTATTAAAATTATTAGAACATTAGATTATTATTATTAGAACATTTTTATCTTGAAGATATTGTCGAAAATATCACGATTACTTGTCATTTTGTAAACTTTCTTAAATTTAATAGAGTTCGAAATTTTCGTTATAGAAAAGTCGACTCTAAATTGATCAAAAATTTAGAATCCATTATCGTTTGACATGTGTTTAATCTAAAATTTTTTGATTTATACGAACATATTTACGTATATTTCATTGAGAGTATACAAGCATATCTTAGCGCTCTTCAATATCAATCTCAATCGAAGAGGAATTGAATTTCACGCGGAAGAAGCGTTAGGTTTATGATTCACGTGGATGAGTTTCTTCGGCAAATGTCCTTGTGCCTGTCATAGGCCAGGTAACGCGACGCCAATGTTGAACATTTCGAATAGAAATCGATCGGTATGTTCTTAAACACGTATTGTTTCCGTCCGTTGAGCGATCATTCGTCGCGTTTCGCCTGTCGGATTAAGACCGCGACTTTCTCGATGTGACCGCGAGTTAAATATAATATTCGCGTGATAAACAATTTTTTGTGTTTCGTATGCTTTTCGTATATTTACTGAAGTTCTCTGCAGTCTCGCTATTTGCACCGAAAACGTACTCAACAGCAATCCAGTATGCAGTGTTGTGATAGTCATGAAACATAATCTTCGAACTTGTTAGATCATAATTTTTAATTACCGTTGCTATACAATAAGCAACGAGTAAACCCAAGTATCGAATTCTTTTTCAGTGCGGTTCTCTTCATCTAACTTTTGCTGATGAAGCTATGTCGTAAAAATTATAGTTTGTCGGGACTGTGTTCTATGGTTTCAAAGACGAAAAGATCGCGACGCGATCATTGGAAACATTAACCAACGAATAATTATTGTGAGTACCCATTTGTGTATGTATAATTTTTAACTATCTGTCTGAAGCTTCGTCACATGTGCGATAACAGCTTTGAATATTTGAAGAAATATCCAATAGGTGTAGTTGTTTTCAGTTTTCCTGAAATAATCTAAATAGCTAAAATAGTCCTTAAGTAGTTGAAGTTCCTAAATCTCTTTCCAACATTTAAAATAAAGAAATTTTTTTTTTAATATTCAGAAAATTGAATAAAATTCATGGATTCAACTGGTATCGACATTGCACAGAGGATTACGTTGTTGGATGCGATCGTATCCGGTAAGGTAGTAATAAAAACTTCACCGGGTGATGATTGCATCCAATGTCAAATCCCTATACTTCTGGCGTTTAGAATGCATGTGCACATCGCTCTCTTAAGTATTGTTGTTAGGGTCGAGTATGTGACTGGTACCACAAGTGAGAATTTGTGACTAGATCATATACTCGTCTTTAATGGCAAGATATATCGTCTGAAAAATCACTTTGCGCCTCGTTCATTTATCTTTGGTGATCTAACTATATGTCGAATCAAAATATCATAAAGCTAGATCAGCAAAGGAAAGATGTTCGAGACACAGCAACACGGGACATCGTCGACGATCACATATCAACGATAACGGACAGCTTTTCGCAGCAATTTAATGTCACTAATGCATGTGAAATATAATATATATTTCTATCAAGTTTGTTTTACCACGGCGTTAACATATCAGAGTATCTCTATTATAGGCTAAAAACCGCTGGCGTTTTCTAAAAAAACATGCTTTTGATTCCATTAAATTCACATAATACTGCAGATTGTTGTAAAAGTAAATAACTTTCAGTCGCAGAGTCCAAAGGGACTTTTATTGTGATATGTTAATGTAAGATAATCATATCACAGTAATAAGTTACCTAGTTCTCTGTCGATTATTCTCATTTTTGCTCATGTGCTCTTATTTTCTAGCAAGAAAGTATCATGCATGCTTTTTAGAAAAAATAGGATCAAATTTGCTTTAGCTCTATAGTTGGCAGAACAGCGGTACAGCATGAGATGGATATAATCCAGTTTGACTTGCACTGTATAGTCACTGGGTAATATTCGTCCCTTGTATGTACTAAATAATCATCTTTCCTAGAGCGCTCACATTAGCATTTTAAATTTATCATTATTGTTGTAAGTGCTGTATGTATAATGCATCAATATAATTAGCATTATCATGCATCTTATTAAACAACGAAATACAGAATATGTCAGAAATGAAATAGATTTACTCGTGAGCGCAATCTATTTCATGTAGATATGTTAAAAGCCACTAACCTTGTTTACAAGACAATTCCTGAAATCTATTTGCATGTCGGATACTGAAACTCTGTCGTGAGGTCTCTTCGGTCCGCTGACACTGGAAACTACAGTGCTCAAATCCAAAGTGACCACTTCGGAGAAGACTGGATCTTGGCTCGGGTCGTCAAAATTCCTCAGCATGCGTACGTTTCTAAGGTACTTCTCAATCTTATCAATGTGTTCCTCGGATCGACCTAAAGTATAGCAGAAAAATATATTTATATATCATAGAAGATATTTTAAAAGTAATCATATTGGGAAAAAGATTTATAAAAATATATAATTAATAAACAAAAAATTTTACCTGTTTGCTTGAGATATGCTAAACTTTGTTGATCTACTGCAAAGAAGCCCACGGTTGCACCATATTCTGGGCACATATTAGAAATGGTGGCACGATCCGCAATACTTAGTTGCGCTACGCCTGGTCCGTAGAATTCGACAAATTTTCCAACCACTCCGATTTGTCGAAGATTCTATCAATGTGTAAAATATAAGCTTATATAAATTGATACTTTTTAGTATTATATATAAATATATATTCTGTTGCGTGAACTTTATTAATTAAAAAAATAAGTAAAATTGTATTTATAAAAAATATATAAAATACCTATATATATATATATAAATTACTTTGATGAAAAAAACTTACCTTTGTAATAGTTAGAACAAGATCTGTAGATGTGGCATATTGATTTAATACACCGTCCAATTTGTATCCCACGACTTTTGGTATTAACATAGAAATCGCTTGACCAAGCATAACAGCCTCTGCTTCGATACCGCCAACCCCCCATCCAAGTACACCCAGGCCATTGACCATGGTAGTATGAGAATCAGTGCCAACTACACTATCGGGATACAGAAGATTGTCCGAATCAAATACCACTCTCGCTAGATACTCTAAATTCACTTGATGCACGATACCGCTTCCGGGAGGTACAATTAACATGTTTTTAAACGTCTTTGCACCCCATTTGAGAAACATGAAACGTTCCTTGTTTCTCTCAAATTCAAGGTCCTCATTCTTTTTTAGGGCATCATTGCTGAAACACACGCATGATAGTCAGATTTATATATAAATTATCAGATTATCTGGCAATGTATTAATACAAAAGTAAAAACAAGACTTGCAGTTTATTCGGATTTCTTTTTTACAATGTTATCAAGCATATTACGTAAAATTTTTTTCTCTTGCTCATGTAACATTGCAGCAATATTAAAATCTTTCAGTTTATGATATGATAACCTTTAACTCTATTATCAAAACATGCTTGCTAAAGCAATGAACTGTACCTCCTCGTAAAATCAGCCTGAATCGAATGATCGATTACGAGGTCCGCTGGGCAGACTGGATTAATTTTATCAGGATCTCCGCCGAGTCTCTTCACAGCATCTCTCATCGCAGCAAAATCCACGACTGCTGGTACCCCAGTAAAGTCCTGTTCGTAATTTAATAAATATATAGCAATAAGTATATTTTTTTGCACACGATTAAAATTTATAAAATACAGAAATTTAGAAGGGATTTCTCTACCTGCAGTATGACTCTCGCTGGCTTAAAGGCCACTTCGACCCCATCTTGATGGGCTTGATTATTTTCCCAATCCAAAATTTTCTCAACATCTGCCTTTGTTATTTGGAAATTGTCACAATTGCGCACGGCACTTTCCAAGAGAACTCTGATGGAAAATGGTAGTCTGTCTGCAAGTTAGAAATCAAATACACATATAGATTTATTCACTGGATATAAAATTAATGACAAATAAAATATTTACCATAATTTGTGCCAAAACTGCCAATGTCGTAATATTGGCACTCCTTCAATCCAATTTTGATGGACTTTAGTAGACCCTTATAAGGATTTATTCCTAAAATAAAAAAAATTATTTAGTTTACCTTCATTATTATAAATTAAAAAGAACATGTATACAAGAACAAAGTATATAAATTCTACATTTTTATCACGGTAAAACAAAAAAATTATGAAATTTTATATCAAAAGGTAAAATAAAATTATTTTAAAATTTTCTATTTTCTCTTAAATTTAAATATTGCCTTTCGAATTACGAAATTTGTGAAAATGTCGAATAAATAAATATTTAGGAGACTGTAATTCTGTTAAGTGAACTTTGAAATCTTTTTTTGCACGTTGCAATTTTTGTCATCAGTTAAAATAACCGTGCCTAAATTCACGTGGCGAAGAATTTAAAAAATTATAACATTTTTACGATACTCCTCTTTATATCGATATATATTAACAATAAGTATATAAAAATAAGCTTCTTTAAACTCTGAACGTTTTTACACGTTGCAACTTATATATGTTTCTCACTTAGAACACCCATGTGTTTAATTCCTTTAAATTCGGATACTATTACGGGACGTGCGAATTAATATTTTTCACAAGGACAAATCGATCTGACGCAACGAGACCGCGATGACCAAATTCGTCGTCTTCAATTGTTTACGTTTGTTTTTGCAATGTAATAACAGCAACGAACAGGTACGGATCTGTCCACTTACCAGCCATGATTGTCACTGAACAAGTCACGTCGGCCCCGTTGCGCGATAGGTATATAGCGCCTTATACCGAGTGTCTCAGAAACACCGGGGCGTTCGCGGTACGACAAGAGTTCCCCCCCCGGTTCCCCCGGTTCCACGGGTTCCCAGATGATTTTTCGCCGCGGCGGCGTTGCGCAAACGCGAGATGCGAGGCGATTCTGCGGACCCTCTCGAACTCGATGCTCTCGAATCGAAGCAGGGGCGCGAAGCCGCGAAGAGGATGAAAAGAGGAGAGAAACGAAACGGAATCGCGAGACAAAACTCGTCGGGTTGCGTAATGCGACACCTCCCTCGAGTTAATTCGATGCATAATCGCCTGATCCCCTCGCGCGATACAATTACGCGCGAGAGGAAGGGCAAAGTTCAATTACCGCGTAAATGAATTCGTTATTGGACTCTCGGTACATGGGGCACGTCACGTGGTGTGGTACGTACACACATGCGTGCGTGTGTGTGCGTGGCGCGATACATGTATCACGATCTGTCACACCACCACAGTGACGTGGCGACGTAAACGTAAACTTCAAACGACGTTCGCGTGATAACTGATAACACTTCGTTGGTCCTTCTTCCTTCTTTCGAATTAATTTCTTGCGGAAACTGCTGGCTCTCTGTCGTGTCGATCTCGGTCCAGCGAGCGTCGAGGATGGAACGAAATTTGGTGAAAACGTTGGACGACACGTAAGTGTTGTGGTTAGGAAATGATTTTTCACAGCGTGAGAGCTGTGTTTAACGTTTTTCAAGCTTTGTCACGTAATAATTATTATATTGAATATTATTTTACGAATATTACTTGATATTACTTGGTACAATTGCGTGTCGGTTGCTGTCTTTCATCCACATTACACCCATCTTGTTACTAATCTTGTGATCAACAGTCTTGTATATATACACAAAGTTATAACGTTATTGTATCCTTTAGGTATGACAAGGAAGGTGTTATTGGCTGCATCTTGGCCGACCACGCTGGTCTCTGTCTAGCAGGTAATAAGTCGTCAAAGATGCAAATGAAAAAATTATAGACCTTACGAGGAAGTTACAGGCATGAAAGTCATGCGCTACGAAAACAGCACAGAATTAATAAATGAACTTTTGCAGTTAAAGGTGACGCATCGAGCGACAGTGCTGGTTTGGTAGCAGCCATAGCGGATCTAGTCGCGAAACTGGAGCCAAAATCCGGATCGCCGATTATATCGCTTCAAAATGATAATAGGTAAGCGGAATGTCGAGCAGCTTTGCGATATTTCTAAGCCCAAAACAAAAACTTGCTTCACTGAATTTCAGGCAGTGTATTATACTTCGTCAGGAACCTGTAGTTGGTGCTATATATAAAGATTTATCGACTTGAGATAATCACTGTTGTATACACGGCTAAAACTTATTTATATGCAAAATGCGATGTCTTTTCTACAAAAATATTTTATCATTTAGGTATTAAGTGTATCCAAGTTGTTAATAAAAGAAAACATTTTAATGTGCAAGAATGGCTTTCAACGTGTAGGAATTTATAAGCAATCTCAACTAGTTGTAGAAAAAATAACTGTTTATACATGATATTATAACATTTTACAAGATCTTACAATGAATCTGTAGTTGATTTATATCATAAATCATAAATAAAATAATTGACAAAAAAATAATTTATATGAGGGTTTAGGATCAGTCGCTCTTCTTCTGTTTGGTCTGTCTTCTTTCATACCAATCATACAATTTGCTTGTGGCAAGGTTGATTAATTCATATATCCAGTGATTTTCATATATCCAAGACCCAAGTACAATTATAAACATTACTATACCAATCACTAGATGCCATGCTTTTGCAGCCGGGAATAAGTAAGTCTGGAATAGCGAAAGAGATTACCTTAAACGCTGTGCGATCTTAGCGCATACACATACGTATAATGAAAACACATCGAGGATACTTTACGTGTGACAAATTGGTGACGAACGCCGCGACGAGAAGACACGTGGAGAATATGGGCTTTGGCACCAGTCCGCGTAATGGACGATATACCGTGTCCTGGTATCTCTTATTGATGAATTTCGCCGAGTGTATGATTCTCAGGCTCATATTCACGCAGTTACCGAAGATAAAGCCGACCGGGCCAAACCAGATGACAAACAAATACGATGCGCCCAAGAACGCGATCGACTGGTAGATCATGATCAAGTTGCTTTTGCTTATGGTCGCACTGTCGGCCGTCGCGTTAGAATAGCATTCGGTCACGCCGTTGATTCCCAACAGTAACACGGCGAGGCAATGTGCCCTTAGTAAGAGAACGGGTAAGGGTAAAGTCAGCTTCGAACCACCGTACAACCAGAGCAACAAGCTGGAGTAGGACTGACCGAATACTAGGACAACCAGACCGATACATGTAACGACAGAGCACAAACGTGTCAATACATTCACGCTCTCTTGCACCTTAGCCTGAAATATATTGCTATTAATCTCATAGTTTATAAATATGTACATAAAATTTTATAGGAAGAGTGCAACGGACACTCACTGGATTCTGATCGGGTATCGTTTCATCCCTTTTCACCATCTGCGTGAAGTAAAAATATCCACTGTCCTCGATTGGACGGAAAATGAATCTAGCAGCTAGCGAACCCATATTGTTCACAATATCGTAGACACCCTTAAAGAAAGAGAAGAATGAGGAGTTAGCGCGATGACGGTATCGCGGTACATATTAAACACAAACCTGTTCTGTGAACGTCAATACTGGCATTATAGTCATGATGTATCTTTCGCCATCCGTCAAAACCTGCTTCAATATTCCTTGCCAAAAGAAGCTCCATGTGAGATCAATTAACTTGCTATCGAAATACGAATCCTACGAAGTAACTGTTGTACTGTTCTTATAGAACGATGATGTAGCAATGCAATCGTATTTAATACATACATTATTTTCTAGCTGCCCGGGCAAAAAGTCTTTTATAGCGCGAAAGGGAAACTCCCTTATCACATATTCGTCGCTACTGTCTTTCAAAGACATTCTTCGTTTCTGTGAACATTTGTTCAGGTTCTTGATGTGATGATGAAAATACACATAATGGCTCGTTGTGTAAAATACTGCCGCAACAAGCTGAGCGATGCCGAACGCAAGCAACGCGTTCTCCGGATAATATAATATTAGCGGGACAAACGTCATAGTGCGAATAACGATCATGATCGTGTCCAGAATTATCTGAAAGAACCAACATGAGTCATGACAGTTGAAACACCTATCTCTCGAGGATCTTACGTATCTATTGTTTTCATTGCCTTACTTTAAGCCTAACGAAGAGAAATGCGCTGGCGACTAATTGAACGACTAAGGAAGACAGTTCTATGATACACGACAGTCCAACTGCCCAAACTGCAAACGTGTAGTACGGTGGTAACGCCTCTGTGGTGGAGAGCACAAACAGCCAACCGTATCCACATAGGAAGGACATCACAACGCATGTAGGTACTCTAGAGCGTTAATTAATCTATATAATTTTGTTAAAGGAAAATAATTGAGTCTCTCAGAAGCTAAACTGATTGACTCCATTTTTTGGACTAAATTTTCTAATTTCAATATACTGTCTGATTAGTTTTACAACTTCATCAATTTTCTTTGTTTTTTTATAATTTATATAAAGAGACTTAGTCAGTTTAGCTTCTGAGAAGTTTGATTATTGTGTACATGGTGAACTAACGTCAGCCAGAGTAGATTTACAACTTGGGCCCAATTGTGTTCCGCGGTGTTAGTCAGACATGCTTTCACAAATAGCTCGCGCGATAGGAACAGTATCGTAGATTCCAGTAGGAGTAATCTCACGGTAATGACACCTAGGACGGCCAGGCCAACATGACGGACAACAAATGCGTTCAGGACAAATGTGATGCAGCGACAGAATATCTGTGGAAGAAGAGTCTTTCTGAGAGAAGTCCTGCACGATGTTGGCATCTGCTGATATACACGGAAGCAGGTGCCTCTCAACTTATAGATTAAAACGAACGATGTATTCGGAATATCGTAAAGGGGAATTTGGTGCAAGTACATCGTGATCCATTGAGGGAGCTTCGGAACTCTCCAGCGTTTGCAGGAGCTATCCAGGTTTTATAAGCGTACCTGAAATATGATGCTGAACGAAGCGTTCTCCAGGCTGCTCTTCAGGATACTCGGCATTTTCAGGCCGATCCGACAGAAACATGAATATCTCGAGATTCTCGCCGGGAGACGTGGAGAAACGTCAACCTCTTTCCCGAGAGGTTAGGTAAGGTTATGTGAGAAGGTTACGACCGCGAGGACAACCGGGATCACTTCTTCTTCTTCTTCTTCCTATTTTTATATCGGCTCCTGCCGCTTTTCAGCAGACAATACGGCCAGATTTGCCACTGTTTGTTTAACAGTCCGAATCACTGATTGCGTAGCGAAATCTGAGTGGAAATTACTGGAAGTCCGAGTGGAAATCGTGATTGCAGATTGCATCAGCAATCTTCAAAAATTTATTCAGGACAAAACACGTGTTCGAACACTGTCGAACACGACCTGCACGACCACGACTGGACCACGTCTCACCACGTTCGCCGATCATCTCTTCTCAGTTTTGTACAACGATACGTGTCGTCGATCCCTTTGGTTTGCATAGATGAAGGTTCTTCTCATTGGCTGTTAGAAATATATGCGCATGAGCACACCTGTGTTCTTCCACCGATGTTTCCACGTTATGATGCGTAGTTTACATGATACTATTTTTCGCTACGTAGCGAAGAGAAGCGTCATGTAAACTGATGTAAACTGACCTTCGTCGCCGATTGAGGACGACAACCAAACTTCGACTAATTTAATCGATGATTAATTCTCCTTTATTAATTCTTTAGTCAGGTACTACTTAACATGGATAGATTAATTTACTTTTTGTTTAATATGGAAAGAAAGATTAGGGACGAGGAGTCGCACAGTTGAGAATTTTGTTACAAGCAATAATAATTCTGTCGATTAACTTAATTAATTGGTGATTAACTTAAATAATAGCTACTATTTCGATAACACGGATAATTTATTAATTTTTTTTGCTGTTTAATGTATGGAAAGAAAGATCAGATCAAGAACGATATGAATTGTAATAATTAGAAATTGCAATGTGCTGTAAGCAATTCTGTCGACTAGCTTAACCAGTGATTAACTTCATTGAATAGCAGCGGTATTATTTCGTTAATATGGATAATTTATCAATTTTTTGTTGCTCAACATATGGAAAGAAAGATTAGGTCAAGGACGACGAATTATGTAGTTAGAAATAATATATATTGTCTAAAGCAATTTCGATGAATTAATTTACCAATTTACCAATTAAGTTAATCAAAGTTTGGTTGTCCTTGAGGGTCTCTTGAGGGGTTGGTGGATTTCAGTAATTTCTAAAGTGGATGATACTATAATCCTTCTTGAGTCAATAGGAGTGCCCATCAGGGATAACAAAATTCTGAAGAGAACAAATCAACAAATGAGTAAATTGTTCATTGATGAGTAAATTGAAGTGCAGCTTTATGTAACTTTTTTCTTTTTTGTATAACATCAGAGGGTAGCGATCATGTAACTTTTTCCCTGGAGCGGAAACGTGAAAAGTGAAAAGTTTCATGTAACTATCTCTTTCTATCGGTGTTGAATAGAAAGAGATAAACTTTTCACTTTTCACGTTTCCGTCCTAGGGGAAAAAAGATACATGATCGATCCCCAGATTAAGAATTTCTAATTAGATCCTACAATTTTACAATTTAGTAAACGTACGTTTTATTTTTTGTCACTTTGGATTCTATAGAATAGGAATCTATTCTTGTCTTGCTTGTCAAAACAAGAATATATTCTTGTCTTCGACGACTATTATCTTCGTTTATAAGCGATCACGTAAAGACGTAAATGAATGATGTGAATATATATGTCACGATGATGAATTTTTACTGCTTCATCTGCAACGCGCGTTGATTAACGAGAAGTCGTTGCAAGTCATCATTGTTGTTGCAAGCTTGCAGAATATTTTTCCAAGGAAAAATTATCTCGTGAAATTATATCGACCCATTCTCTCGCTTGCTGAACGTCTTCTACCAACTTCTCTTATAGCCTATATTCTCTTTTTTTTCGTTCAAAGTCTATGTGCAATTTATTATTTTATCACAGGAAAAGAGAGAGAAAGAGGGAGGGTGCGGGATATTTAAATAAAGCGCAACGTTACGATTCACAGCTGTAATATATGTCGCAACGTGATGGTTGAGCAATTTACATTTACATCGTTTGAAAACCGATTAGTAAGATTAGTTTGAAGCCCAAATAACAAATTGCAAATTGCTAATCAACGAGTATATATATATATATATATATATTTTTTTTTTTGCAACAGGATTACGCAAAATAAAAAACGGTTTTGCGACGGGGTGTGGTAAAATCAACTGACATTTAACTAAACCGCTTGTTGAAACCTCGCAGAAATGAAATTCGCGCATTGTCGCAGTAACAGAGAACGACAGAGCGATATCGACAATTTTATCGAGTGATATAAAACGATAAGGACGCGGTTGGATCAGAAATTCGGCACGTGGTAGGTATACGATTATAGTAAGACATAAAAGATTGTCAGTAAAATCCAAATAACTATATACTATCTACATAAACGTGATAAACACACATAATAATGAAATATTAATATTGTATACTTAACAAGTTCCCAGATAGCAAAGTGACATTTAGTGACGGTTATTGCCGTAATACTTAATGCCGTCTTAGTGATGGCAACACGTCAAGTTTCCGTCACTACGGCATTATGACGGCATTTGATGTCACTGTGCTATCTGGGTTCTTTTTTTAGTTTTCGTGAGAAAATCGCGAACAATTAAGCGTCGATAAATAATTCAAGAAGCGAGAGTGTGTTTTAAAAAAGAGACAATTAAGTATTTATAAAGGAAAGAAAAAGAGAAGAGGAAGTAATTTTACGAATCCAGTTCCCGAGAAAGAAAATAATTGTGGCAGTTTCTGTTTAATAAAATGCAATCGAACAATTTCAAGGATCTGTGAACGATGCAGCGAGGAAAATAAGGCAAGAAACTAGGCGAGGAAGAAGGGATAGGAAATTGCGCGAGAACGTTAACAACAAGGACGGATATCCATTTTAGAAGAGGAAGAAAAAGAAGTCAATCGCGCGATCAGCTGATCGCCACCGCGTCATTCAGTCATTCTTACAATTCTACCATGGCGCGTAATGTTTTCCGGACGGCACAAAGCAACCATCGTCTCAGGTAAATGAGTGAAGGAGTGATCGTAGAAACTAGAAAGGATATTCGTAGAAGAAGGAAAAGCAGACGACGAGTCAACGGATATATTCCCTAAGGATGGAATCCGGAAGGATTTAGCGCGCATGGAGAGAACGAGATCGTGCACATGAAAGGGCCGTCGCACAAACAAGAATGGTCGTAAAAGCGATTAAACTGTAGCAATACGTTTAATGAGACATTACGTATTGCTTAGCGGAGTAAAACGTCGGAGTAAAACGTATCTAAGCGAGATCAGCTTAGGCGTCACGCTTTTACATAACTCGGGAGAGTTATTTCATGCATGGCAGCCTTTACAGTGTCCATCGAGGTGGTGCGCGCTCGGCGAGATCGAATTCCCTGTACGAGCGATCGCGGCGGACGCCGCGTTTCCGCGTAGTAGCGTTCCTGTCGGCGTCCCGTTTGCTTTTGCTGTACAGTTATCGCAGTATTATTTATACAGCAGCGGACTGCTGTAGTCAGTGTAGTCGTCGTCGTCGTCGTCGGTCGACTCGCACGGCGCACAGTCGGACGGTGCGAGCGGAACAGAAGGGAGCGTCCGGTCCGGGTCGACGACGGTCGTTGGTGTGTGTGATTTGCGCCGCTCTCCACGCTCTCGTGAAAATCTGATGAGTAAGTGTCACGCCGGCTTGGCGTGAGACGTCACGCCTGACCGTTGCTCCTCGTCGCGTGTTCCCACTTCCCTGTCGCCGACGCGATTTTTCGGGTCGACGACGTGACGTTCGACGACGACGACGACATGACGGCTGGCGTGGTCGTCGTCAACCGAACGTAGCTCGTGCTGCTCGTGCATCACCAAAGTTCTCTCGAAAATAGCTCGTCCGCATCAACGAGTCGAAAATATCGACGCTTTGTATGACGCGGCTGGCAAATTGGCAATAGGTCGGTGAGAGTTGGGAATAGGTGGCTGACGCGAGCTCTCTGCGAAATGGGAACAATGTCATGAGAAAGCGGGGAGATCGATCGCGCTTAGATAATTACTAATTTATCATACGCGTTTACATAACGTGATATTTCGTATTTGTGCTGTTATATGTTATCGTTTGAAAACAGTGGGGCCGAAGAGCGCTTAGAAGCCGCCCGGGCTCTTTCATCGGCGCGTGTAATCAAAACATGAATTGTAAACTTTCAGCAGTATCATATACTTGTTGCTTTCAATGTCATAACAGAAACTGAATTTATGTGCGCGATAAAGTACTATTTATATTGCTGATATTGCATTTGGTGATGAGCATTCGCAGTCGACGTGATGATAAAAGATAGAATTAAATTTTTTGTTTTTAATTCAATCATCAGCAAGCGTACAATAACAGGATTACGTTAAAGCGACTTGAGCATAAAAATGTGCATATGATATCGTGAACTTATGTGACGTTACTTATGTAAATATATGCCTACGTATGTGCACGTGCGTACCTCACACATTGTGTGCGCAAATAAAAGGAATTGATCTTTGACTCTTGACTTAAAAATAGTTCTTTACACGTGCAAGTTTACAAAGCTCTCTGCGTTTGATGATTTTGAAAAAGATATGACTGTGTTTAAAAAAATTTAAAGGAATCTCTCTCTCTCGTATTTACATGATATTTTAAACATGATGTCACGAAGACGGACATATAAGAGACTCTGGAGACAGAGATACCGTCTTACTTGAAATTATATTTAAAAAATTGTTTTTAAATGTACATATCCTTTTTCAGGGAATATATTATTTACCATAATAGAGGGGTCCGGAGCGAGCTGTTTCACTCTGAGCAATGAGTCCGCAAAGTCATAAGAATAATCTAACTGCAAAAGACATGCAGTCCAACGGATACTCTGCTGGCAATACCATGGCCAAAGAAGCGAAAAATCATTCATCTCCTTGTGAGTCAGTGGATTGTATGTGTGCTTAGATTGCCAATTTTTTACTTTTTATTATATACCATGTTTGCTACATCAACATCAGTTTTCAAGTGGTGTTTAGTACTTTATATCTTATGTCATGATTATTATAATTTTTTTCAAATTTTTTATGTATATCAAGATAGAATGACTATACAAAATGAGCAACTGAGCAATGACGTATCTAGATCAATATATAAGCTGACGAGTGTAAATATTCAAAATTCAAATCCCTTAATATAATCGTTTCCAAGTATAATTTCATCGATAATTTAATCTTTATTTAAATCTATATACTTTGGCGAAAGGCTGATTAACCTTTATCAGTTAATGGCCAACCTTCAGCTGAAAATTAGTGGTCGAAAATACTAAAACTAATGAAACTGTGAATTTTGTACTTGGAAAAGACTATGAACTGGAAATATCATGTCCAATACTGTGTCTAATATTATAAATATTGTACTTGAAAGACTATATGCATTTGGAAATACTGCGTCTTTACACTGTGAAGAGTTGTATATACAATAATTATTATATCGTATAGACATCTACGCTTGCCGGCTTGTATCGGTCTGAATATCATCGCTTAGATTTTTCTATAAAAAAAGTATCAAATTTTGTTCTTAATTTAATTTTGTTAAGCTAAGTAACATTCGTAACAAAGTAGATAATGCTTGCGACAAGAATGTTATCCTTATTGCTTGATTGTCGCTAAAAGAACATTTGTAATTAGATAAATTCTCTTAATGTACATATATCTTTACATTTTGTTGCCACAATTTTTCTGCATGACGTGCCTATTAATAATCATATTTCTAAAAATTTAATCTTACATAGCACATTTTTACAAAATTGTGCTTTTCTAATTGCTAGTGATCATCGCATCTTTTTTACAAAAATGTATTTCTAACATTATCATATTTTTATACAAATTACAAGATGAAATATTAATTGTAACATCGTTGTTACAGCGATGCCTTGGTTTGGGATGGATATAGGCGGTACATTGTGTAAATTAGTGTACTTTGAGCCAAAAGATATAACGCGAGACGAAGCGGACGCAGAAGTTGAGACGTTAAAAAATATTCGTCGATACCTTACCAAAAATTCAGCATACGGAAAAACTGGTCATCGTGATACACATTTACAAGTGAGCGTTGTTAAATATTTAACTTGTACTTTCTGGAATTCACTGGTTACGTAGACCCCTGTTGATAATTGCTGATTTTAACGATTGTTTCAGATGAATAACGTCAGCATTAGAGGCAGACGAGGAACGTTACATTTTATTAGATTTCCCACAAGCGAAATGGGAAATTTTTTAGCACTAGCAAAATCAAAGGGTATGGCCAATCTCGTGACTACTGTTTGCGCCACTGGTGGTGGTGCTTTTAAGTTCGAAGATAATTTCAAAAAGGTTGGGAAAATCGCCTATCTTGATTTCTGCCTTATTATAATTGCGACATGAATAACAAATAATTGTTAAAATATATTACAAAATATCTCTGGCAGGAAGTAAATATGAACTTGGCAAAGTTCGATGAATTAGATAGTTTAATACGCGGAATGCTCTATATAGAGACTACGAATCCACGTGAATGCTATTATTGGTCGAATCCCACCGATGACAGCAAATGCCAAAAAGTACCCTACGACTTCTCCGAACCATATCCTTTCTTGGTAAGTGTATATAGAAATATTTCGTTGTGCGCTTTTTTGACTGAAGGAGTTACTGATTGATTATATCTTGCAGCTCGTTAATATAGGCTCTGGAGTAAGCATACTGGCTGTGTATGGGTCAGAAAATTATAAAAGGATATCTGGAACAAGGTAAATTGCGCATGTGTTATATTTTGTAGTGGCAAGATATTTGTTGTCAAGTAATAACGGTATAACATTTGCCTTATAGTTTAGGTGGGGGTACGTTCTTAGGATTATGTTGTCTGCTTACTGGATGTAATACCTTTGAGGAGGCGATAGAATTAGCAACAGGCGGTGATAATACAACAGTAGATAAATTGGTTAAGGATATTTATGGCGGCGGTTATGGTCGTTTCGGTCTTCCCGGAGATTTAGTTGCAAGCAGGTACAATTGTAAAACACAATAATTAACTCCTATTCTAAGATGCAATTTCTTTATTTTGATTTTTAATTATCTTATTCTATATTTCATTGTTCTTAGTTTTGGACAAATGAATTCTAAAGATCGCAGAAATACCGTCACGAAGGAAGATTTGGCGCGTGCAACTCTTGTTACTATCACGAATAATATTGGTTCTATTGCGCGTATGTGTGCTGGCAATGAAAAAATCGAGAGGGTAATAATATATGTAATTTATGTTATATATAATTTCTCAAACTGGCCATTTGTAACAATTTTCGTTTTCAGGTCGTATTTGTAGGGAATTTTCTCAGGGTAAATCCCATAGCGATGAAGTTATTGGCCTATGCTATGGATTATTGGTCCAAAGGAACTTTGAAAGCCCTGTTTTTGGAACATGAAGTAAAAATCTAATTGAAAGCTCATATTTTAAAATAATTTCTCAAACTGGCCATTCAGACCAGACGTATCACTGGGTATTGTGTCTTGATTTCAGGGTTATTTCGGCGCGGTGGGATGTCTATTACAATTTAATGGCGAATCGTGCTAAACACAATAGAAAATGTCGGGGAAACAGTCATACAACATGCATCATTCCATATGACCAACTTCGTAGAACATTTCTCGAGTGAGCAAGATTGTTCAACATAATTATATTTATTTTTGTTACATTTTTCTCAATTATTCATGAATCTACTGTCTATTGAATAATCGTTTATTATAATGAGAATACGGAGAAACCTTGATATTTAGCAATAAGATTAAGGATATATTTGTAAAATGTCATCGTATAATTTATCACTATTTTAATGTAGGAAAAAATAATTGTGTCAAGATAGTTCTTTTCTTTTTTGGTCGGAGGGTAATTATTTCGATATAATTGTTCGATTACGAGCACAAATTTGATACTCGGCAGGTAGAATCAATAATGGACCAATCCAAAGGGATTAAGGATTGCCTTTCCTTCCGATGTTCGTTACATGCCGCATATAGACTAGTTCTACCTCATAATTTATATTGTAAAGTTTTTCTACGAATGTGCACAGGTTTTTATGTATATAAGTAATATGGCAATCGTTATTACACTTGCACATTTTTTCGTAACAATGGAATAAAATCATTGTAGCGGTAAATACTTTCGCACTTTACTTTAATTGTTAATATTTGTTATTAATGCATTGCGTGTTATATAAGATGAAATTTTTAATACGAATTTTTTATTGAATATTAATGCAACTTGCTAATGAAACATTATTCATTCGCATCTGGCAATTGCATAAATTAAGAATTTTTTATCGATTCAGTGAGCTATTGTAATGCAAAATATACGCTTCCGTCAGGATATTATGAAACGATGCAGTACATATTCCAAGTTATCAAAGATGTGTCAAACGTTAAATCTTGTTTCTGAGAAATATGTAGTAATGCGATCGAAATCATTAAAAAACTGACATTATATCGCAAAGAAAATGTATATATTTTAGAAATATTGTTTTTTAGAAAACAGTATAATCGTGATATATATTTATCTTCTATTTTAACTATTTGAAATGTAACAATTGATAAAACTTTCGATATGTTATTACTTGTAATTTATCGAATAATTTGACATTACCACAAACGTATCCTTATGCAAACGAATAACTTATTTCTGTTGCAATGTATTGTGAAAACATGCCAAACAAACTTTAATAAAATATCATTTTAATATACAATGCAAAATGTATATGTATGTCCATACCCATTACATCGTGTTATTCACAAATAGAAATAAAACTTTGTGAGTAAAATTAAGTATTGAACATATAATATGTAAATATTTTTTGAATATTAATTTCAATAATATATATCATCGTATTATATATAGATATATAATGTATTTTTTATATAAATTTCATATCTGAAAGACGCATCTAAAAGAGTCCCTATACCAAAAGTTGCATGAAATATATCTGTATATATATAAGGAATAAGGATATAAGACACACGGTTACTTAGCAACGTTCTTACAAAACAGTCCACTCTAAATGTCAAGCCCGACTGATTTGTATAGACGTAGTCAGCTGATGTGAGACTATAGATTTAGTGGTATCGTCATTATTATTCGTGTTAATTTTTTTACAATCCTTGAAGAAACCGGTATATTACATAAATCTTTTTACACCTTTTTTGATATCTATAAAAATGGTAAGCTCATTAATTTTAATTATTAACCTGTTATAAACGATTGCTTTTGCAACGCTAGATTATCAATATTTTTATCAGTATTTTGCCAATACATACTTTCTCACTACATTTTTATATAATTCCATATATGTAGCTATGATTCTTCTCTATCTATGATTTTATTTTCTCTTTTCCATCTCTTATAAATTAATATGTTTCTTAACTGTGTATTAAATTATTTAAAATTAATAAAAAGGGTCCCAAGAAAGCAAAAGGGAAAGCAACCGATAACGTCGATGGGGTAGACACAACAAAAATGAATAGAGAGCAATTGGAAATATATGCTCATAAGATATTGGAAGAGATGGAACGTGAACGGGAGGAAAGAAATTTTTTTCAACTAGAGAGAGACAAATTGCGAACTTTTTGGGAAATTACGAGACATCAGCTGGATGAAGCACGTGCTGTAGTCAGGTATTTTGGTAGTGGTGACTAACTGTTTGCGATGTTACGTAAACGCATTTAAAATTCTTTAGAAATAAAGAACGTGAGAAGGAAGAATTAGCAGAGAATCATGAAGCTGAACTTAAATTATACAAGCAGAAAGTAAAACATTTGATGTATGAGCATCAGACTAATTTGTCTGAAACCAAGGCCGATCATCTGGTTGCTCTTAAACTGGCGCAAGACGATCATGTCGTGCAAGAAAACGAGCTTATTAAAGACAAGACGGAGCTAAAAAAAGTGCAGAAAGAACAAGAATTGGCGTATATGAACGAAATCCGCGCATTGAAACTGGTAAGACGTAAATATGTATAACGATTTGCTGCAATCTACATGTACATATTTAGTAAATTGTAATTGAGAAAAAATCTCTTATTTTTATACGTACAAAATGCAGCACAATTCGGAGGAAATGAGCAATATGATGAAGAAATTTGAATCTGAAGCGGTAGAATTGGAGCAGAAATACGAACAAAAATTAACTAGTCAATATGAGTCCTTGATATTGAAGCATCGCATGGAAATAACCGAAGTGGAAGAGAGGAAAAACGCGCAGATCGCTAACCTGATAAAGAATCACGAGAATGCGTTTACTGAAATGAAAAATTATTACAACGATATCACTCTGAATAACTTATCGTTAATTAAGAGCATGAAGGTGAAGCCTTATTATAAATCGCACAATTATAAATATTATAATTATGGAAAACAAGAATCGAGGAATTTCTAATTAACGTAGCAAATCTTTTAACAGGAACAAATGGAAGTAATGAGAAACAATGAGGAACGTATGAAGAAGCAAGTACGAGAATTGACAGCAGAGAATAAAAAATATTCGGCTGACCTGAAAGCTTCGCAGGAAACGGCTGCCGAACTTAATCGGCAACTTGCAAATTACGAGAAAGACAAACAATGCTTAGTTGTTGGTATCTGAAACACAACTTTGGCATATAATAGCGCTATAAAGAACTAAAACTGAATTAATGATTATTACAGAATACAAAACGGAGATTGTCCACAGTGGTAAAAGATTTAGAAAATTTAAAATGGGAGAATGAAGTTCTCGAGCTGCGTTTTGAAAAAGTGAGACATTTAAATATACATATTCAAACATATAACATCTTCGAAATGTATATATACCTTTCTAATTTTATTTAGTGTCAATCCGAGAGAGACGAGTTACATTCTAGATTTGTCTCGGCTATATTCGAACTGCAACAGAAAACGGGTTTAAAGAATGTGCTCTTGGAAAAAAAATTAGAAAAGTTGTCGGACTTACTGGAGCAACGTGAAGCGCAGATTAGCGAAGTGTTAGCTGCTGCCCAATTGGATCCTGCGGCGGTGGTTAGTGTGAATAAGAAATTAGAGGTATGCGTTAAACACAATCTCATTATGCTCATCTGAATTAGATACGAATGTGGTAGCAATACAATATTTCTTTGTAGGATATGCTCAATAGAAAAAATACTGCAATAAAAGACCTACAATATGAATTAGCGAAAGTGTGTAAAGCACACGACGATTTGTTAGCGGCTTATGAGAGTAAACTGCAAGAATACGGAATTCCCAAGTCTGAACTTGGATTTCAGCCTCTGAGGATGAAGATAGCCGGTACAAAATTGGGCTTGGGTCCAGCTAGTCTCGTTACCTCAAATCAGTAATATATTTTATAAATGTTTATATATAATCGATTTATGAAAAATTTATATTCCTTGTCTGAGAAAATCATACTGACAAGTGACATGCTTTATCGCTATTTTTATATACCTATTTTAATGGAAGAGATAATAAGTTTTTAATAAGCCGTATAATACTTGACATGTGTCTAGTAGTACACTATACAAACTATTCGGTAATACGCGCATTTAATGCATCTAACGATAATTACTAAAAAGCGATACTTCAAAAAACCTTATCTTTAAATATAATAGATATATAGAATTAATTTTGACACAGAGTATTTTTATTCTGTAAAACAAATACATTTTAGCTTATGCGTTATGTTCTCAAAAATTACATAAAATTATCACAGAGAATGTACAGAGTAGATTGTATCGATGCCTGGAAGTTGTATAGTCTCAGTAATTATTCAACATATTTATGCTTTTGCCTCCAATCACATCTCTCGTCGCAATTAATATTGGTTAATATTAAAAAATCTGATATCATGTACGATTCATACATTTTCATGATTCTATTACTAATTGTATAACTTTTCTTTGCGTTCCAACATCTTGTCAGATATCTAACAACTGGCAGGCACAAATACACTGAAGATACATTCATATATAGATATTAACATATAGATATTAGACACTGACTAGTCTAACTTGTAAAACACTATAAGTCAAATACATCAGGTCACATGGTTAATAAATTTTTAACACTGGCTTTATGTAAAATATTTCCCCATCCGTTTCTCGCGCAATAATAGCAATAGTCTGTAAACTTTTCCATTTTATAATACTTTACGGTTAAGTGAAGAAATAATTTATCATTTGCTCACAGATTTGTAAATATTATACAACGCTTTGTATAGATATAATTTTATAATACATATATAGATGTGTATACGTATATATATAATATATATACATATATGTATACATATATATTTATATATATGCTTATATGTATATTAAGAATTTTGGCACAATAAGAAATAGAATCACAGTTGAAATCATTGTACATTATAAGATTTACAGATGGTTTTGTCAATACGTCGGTTTCGTGTTTCTGTGAAGTGTATGTTACACGCTTGCTACGATATGAAATGCACATTGAACCGTGTAAATTAACTTAAAACCCCACAACACTAGGCTACATTATAGAAAATTACGAAATAATATATAAAAAATTCAGGTTTCGGAAAAGATCGCGCGAAACGCTAAGAGATTAACCAGATAATTCTGAGCACTGCAAAATTTAGAATTTATCTGTACGCGTGTTTTTTTTTATCTTTCTTTGAATTAGGCTCGTTTGGTTACCACCTTGTCTGAAAAGAACATCCGATCTACGCTGCTTTTCCTTTTCATTAAATTTTTACGGCCGTGTCGAGTGTGTATCAGAGTCGTAGAAAAAATAAGCATCTGTTTCAATTTTAGATATTAGTGGTCCATTGTTCCATTGTAAACCTTTTCTTCGAGTTCCTTTAAAGATTCGCTCGCTACGTTTAAAGGTGCATCGATTTCTAACTTGGTGCGCACACTCAATTTAAATGGGAGCGTAATATATGCTTAACATCGTTAAGCAGTATGACGCATTTATACATATAAAATTTATATATTCATGTAGCAACACACTTTCATTTTACTACTAGCGAGATCCTTACGCATTTGCGTGATAAATAAAAAGAAAATATATGAGCGTATGTATTATCTAGATAGGAGAAAGGCAAGGTACACTTTCAAGTAGTTCAAAATTACCATATACTCGCATAAATAGCAGATGTAAATGTACGATGATTATCTATGTGGCTTGTACACGCTTGGTCTGCGGTCTGATAAGAGTTGTGTTAATTAATTTCAACGTTGAATTGCAAATTTTGTACTTTACTGGCATTGAAAAGGAACCATAAGTTTCCGGAAACTCTCTCGTTGTAAATTAATTAAAAGTTTTCAAGAATAATTTATTGACTTTCGAAAAAATTATGTGTATTACAAAAAAAAATGTACGCGCGTACGACGTAACATAAATGCGATCTTGTTAGCTTTACGGATTATTTAATTTTCTCGTTCAACTCATTATCCTCCAGTTTGGTAGAACGTCAGCGATCAACGTAGAAAAGTATGTTGTTACATTGTAAACTACGGTTTCGCCGGCGGCCAAAATCGCCCCAAAGGAGCCGTAAGTACCGTAATCTATTATGCTATGATTGCACGCGGACAAGACCGCCAGATCTTTCCCTGGGCCCTTGCCATCGTTCTCCGACACGAAGCTGATTCGATGACGCTTACTGCGCAAGTTATACTTGCACCAGGCGATATTATCGCTCGTCACTACGAAGACCACGTTGCTGTACTTGCCGGCGAAGTAATCCATCGCCGACAGGTAGTAATTTACCGGCGCCGGCCGCGTCTTCAACTTCTGCCAGAGGTAATCTACGTAGTCGGTTCTGCGCACGTGTACGCTGACGTAGGTCGGCGAGGACAGGTTGAACTTCTCCGCCACGCGTTTCAATACTTTCTCCGCGTAGATCCTTAGACTCGGTTTAAACGTAAATTCCCGCCGTACATCGTCCAGCCAGACTAATATCAAAGACCAATAAGCCGCGTGCCTGAGAAAGAATTCAATTCTTATTTAATTTAAATATTTTAAAAGATTAAGAGAGAATTATAAAACTTATTTTATTCTATATAAGTAATGAAGGTTCAGACGATTAAAGAATCGATTGAAAATATAAAGAACGTGGGAGCCGACTTACGGCTCTATGCTCTTTATATTTTCAATTGCTTATTTTGTTCTGTATCATTTTATTCGTGCATTTATTCATGCATTTGTGTATGTAAAATCTTCAACGATGCTAACCTGGGTATAATGATGTTTTGCTCCGTGCTGTTCCACTGACTAAGCGAATTAACCACCTGACCGACGTCGAGCGTACATCTGCCAATATAGCTGAGCGGTGGGATGCTGAGGTTCTCGAAGTGTTCCTCCAGAGTCTTGAGGATGCAGCGCGGCATGAACGGCTCTAGGCCGGTCCTCCGGGCGGTCGCCCACACGGAGGCGTATTCCCAGATCTGGTTGCCCAGCCTACCGCCCTGTACCGCCGAGACTATGCCGTACTTGGGGCAGGGATTGTTGCGCAACTCCGACGCCGGTATACGGACATTCTTCAGGTTCGTGCGACAGAGCGCCTGCTCGTACGCGAAGATCTTCATGTGACGTGCCGGCGGGGTCGACGTGTACATGGGAAACAGGAAGACGTGGATGCCAAATACCACTAACAGCGCGAGGACTATCGCGCTCGCAAGCACATGCTGTTGAGCGTGACTCATTCTTTCCGCTAATTTTTGCGCGCCACGCAAATTTTCAGCGACGGAATGCTCTTTTTTTTCTCTAGCACTTTTTCTCCCTCGCTCTACGTGCTTGCTCTCTACCCTTTCTTCACTACTTTGCTCTGCTTCTCGTTTGCTCTGCCTCTACTGGTCGGCCGCTCGCTTCTCGCACTAGTCCGGCATTTCATATCTACAGGTGTGCCATGTCCTTTGCTTTCCGACGTACATCTTGACAACAATAAATGAGCGATTAATGAGCGATAAATGTACGGATGTCGTTTAGAATGATGATAACCACAAAGATATTGCGCATGTATATAATTTAAGGATAACATGATGTTTATTATGTACAATTTGAAATATCACGCGTTGTTATTTTAAGACTAAAGTTGAGGCAATCTGCATGTAACGTAGAAGTAGAATAACAATGAGGACAGAAAATTATAGAAATCTGTTTTTAATATGATACGATAATGAATATGAGAGTTCATCAATTTCAATTTTTTTATATTATAAAGAAATATTTCAAAATATATTTGGAGTATTACTTCAGAAATATATACTAAGAAATTTTAATCATATATGGATTTAAAAATAGAATCTCACATTAGAATAGCATAGCTCCATTAAATTGTATTCCATATATTTCATTTTGGAGTGTCCCAAATTCCTTTTACTCAATCAGTACGCGCATAACATACTCGCTTTCCATGGAAATGTGTCAAGTAGTTTAAATGTAATTTAATCCATCCTCCAGACAGATTAAATTGCATCTTCTCCAGATAAATTGAAAAAGGACATGGCTTACACGCAATTACTATGCAAAGCTCGAGTAAAATTCCATGCAAGCAGTGATTCTGGCAAAACGTAAATTATGTCAGCCTTTTGTAATCCTAAGAATATCAAGAAATTCGGTAATGGTACCGCTAATGATCTGATTGTGAGCTAATTCGTTGAGCGCGATTTTCGATACGAACCATGCAGTAACTTATCTCTTCCAACAAGTACAGCAGCTGTATCCCAACGGTGTTAATAAGAGCGTAATTAATACGGGGTGACGGTGTATGGGAAGGGTATGCGGGACGTATAAAACCCTTTATTACGGCCGTTTGCTTCCACAGATCGTTCTCATCGCTCGGTAAGTGAGAGGGTGGGGTTCAAAAGTTTTGAAAAATGGCACGTTATCACGCTGTCACGTTTAATGATGTGAATTTTCTATCGCGATATGAGAAAACTTGAAAATTTAAAGCTCGTGATAAACAACGTTATGAAACAAGACATAAACAATTTTACGTGGCTTAGGATTCGCTGGGGCGAAAGAAAAGTTTTAGTTCGCGTATACCTACGCGAAATCCAGGCTGCGATCCATTTGACGCTATAAATGCTTTGAACCGTTTATCGAGATCCAGCGACTTTTCGCGATTTTTGGACATACGAAACTGCGACGCACACGTCTTGCTGTTAATCTTCGTCGCAAAAATTAATCCTCTCGTGGAAAATCTGCAAATTTTGCACAGTCGCGTACATATATATATGTACATATACATATGTATATATATATATATACAAACTTATTTGAAGTTATTGCGTCGCAAGGATGAGAACTGCGTGACACACATTCTCCTCGAACCACCACCGTCAACGCGACGCGCACAGCTCGAGATCAATTTCTGAGAGAAAGAGAGAGAGAGAGGGACCTTTAAGAAACGTAATAAGAGGTTTCCGGGATCGCCATGTTCAATAGCGCGTTACTCTTCTCAGTTTCCTGCGTGGAGATGGGAGTCAGGTTCAGGTTCAGGTATCGGGTGCACCAACGTCCCTGGCCTCGACTTACCTTCCTCACGTTTGCACTACGATCAGTAGATATATCATAATGAAAGAATCGCAATACTTATTCGCGACAAAGACAAATCTCGAGACCGTGATTAACCTTCTCCGGGGCCAGCTTCCGCCCTTTTAAACTCTCGGCCTCCCGGCGCGCGAGCTCGGCGAGAGTTAATTAGCCGCGGGAGTCCGGGCCTCCGAGCTCCGGGAGCAATTTCGCGAAAGACGGAGTCCTACTCACCCGTTCCGGCGAACTCGGAGCGATTCGCGACGCACAGGTCGAGCCTCGCAAGCAGCCGCGAGTTCCGCTCGCTCATGTTTGTCCCGGCGCGCGGACGCTTGTTGCACCCCGGCCGCCGTCAGTGTCAGTCGCCGTCGACGCCGTCCCCGTTTCTGTCGCCGCCGTCGGGCGTCGTCGCCGTCGCCGCACTCGTTGCACAGCGCCGTCTCCGGCGTCTCCCGTCCCCCGCTTCGCGGCAACCTTCAGGCCTTCAGGGCGACTGGCGACACTCGCTTCACGCTTCACGTCGATCGTCTCGCCTCTCGCGCGCGCTCTCCACCTCGCGTCCTCTACGACGCAACGACGTCCGGGCGGTCCGGGATTCTACGCGCTGTCGGACGGGGGCGAGCCGCCATCCTCTCGCCGGGGATGTTTTCTCTCAGGGTGGGCGAGCGTGACGTCACCCACCACCCACCCCCACGGGGCCGGCGCCGCGCTCCGCGCTACGTATGGATTTTTAATTTTCCGTTGGCGCCCTTTCGAAGCCGGAAAGCCGCCATCTGGTGCCATTGTCCGTCGGTAATTCGCACCTCTCGCTCTCGCCCTCGGCTCTCGCACGGTATCGCGATTATCGCGAGTCGAGAAAAACACGTACGCGTTACATTTGGGGGAGAAATCGTGGTAAGAAGGAAAAAATGACACGTAAGCAATTGTTTATATTAGATTTCAAGTGCGAATTGCTGTGCGCTTTCTGCTCTTAGAAGAGAACGCAAACGCGACGCGTAATTTTCTGGTTCGTCTCCTTTTTGCATCTTTTGTTAGTAAAATGAAACAGCCATATGCAGATTTCGCGAAGAAAAAGCGGAAAGAAAACGAGTGCAGAAAGTGTAACATCGAACACGCACCAACCTCGCGTTCGTGCCGTTACTATTTTCAAGTTACTTATTGTTCAAATCACTGAAACTTATTCAAACCAAAATTGCAACCGCACTTCTCGTGGCTGCAGCTATCGGTGTTACCAGCGGTTGCTATTATCCGCGATAGAGAATAATTTATCCGTCGATTAATAGAGAATTTACGGAGTATCTCTCGATTCTCTTGCAGAAAAACCTCTCCCGCGTTTGCTTTCAATTCGGCTCAACTTGAATCAGTTATGTGACGTCATTCGACCAATCAGGTGATACCCCGCGGTTTCCTTTTCCGCCATTACCGATCGCGGCTCTGTCGTTTCTTCACCTCGGTGTTCTGCGTGCGGCTTCTTTCGTCGGTCGTGGACACTTTTGATTCAATTTCTGCCGTCTCGTGTGGAATTCGGCGAAAAGGTATCATTCGCATGCTTATACATGATTAGAATATTGAATACAACACGTTGGATGTTACGATTCACTGAAATACCATTGAAATGCTAATCGTTTTCTGTTCGCCGCAGGGAGGTTCGCGGGAATACGGCACGGTGGCCATAACGCAGCGATTCAGAGACGGAGAACGGGGAGTGCGGGGACAACGAAATCGGTGAGTGCGTAATATTACAGGGTACTCGGTGAAAATTCTCATCGCATCTCGATTATCACGAAACGTCGTTGGTGCGCGCGTTACGCAAAAGCCTGCACCCGCGCGAGATAACGCAGCGTCTTATAGCAGGTATTTTGCATTTTCCTCTCTCTCTCTCCCTCTCTAGACGCCGGTCTCTCGCGCCGCGTCGCGGTCGATGCAATTTCGAAGCTGAGTTTGCGAGACCTCAATTTCTGACGTGATTTTTTTTCTTTTATCGGTCGCCGTTTTATCCCGATTGTGAAGAGAGACGCGACGGCGAATCTGTCGCGGCGCTTTTATCACGCTTTCGTTATTCGCAAGCTCGAAAAAGCTCGTCGCCGAAGTAGGCCGCGTATCTTTCGGTCGGGACACGCGACGTTTTATTCGTACGTTTTTGTTCAGATACAGTTTAAAATATTAGAAAATTGGTATTTATAAGAGAATTATAGCGCTTTTACTGCTCGCAAATTATTTTATATAGATAAAGATAAAATATTATTATGAAATGCTTTTATATTTTCAAGAATAAAGGTGATATCGAAGCTGCCTAATCATTTATATAGATATTATATAAATTTATAAATTCATAAATTTATAAAGTTACATTGTATAAATATTTATATTATAAATTATATTATAAATATTTATACAATATAAATTTATAAATTATATTACAAATATTTCTACAATATAAATTTATAAATTTATAAATTTATATAATATCTATATAAATGATTAGGCAGCTTCGATATCATCTTTATTCTTGAAAATATAAAAGCATTTTATAATAATATTTTATCTTTATCTATATAAAATAATTTGCGAGCAGTAAAAGCGCTATAATTCTCCTATAGATACCAATTTTTTAATATTTTAAACTGTATCTAAACAAGGACGTACGAATAAAACGTCGTATTATAAATATTTACAAAAAAAACGTTGAATGATATACATATACATATATATTTTAAAAAATTAACTTTACTTTTGGAGATATTTTTATCAAGCTCTCAGAACATAATTTTTTGAACAACTGTCTCTATAGATATTGTATTTACCCTTATCATCGCTAAGCGGACACGCAAAACGGACTTGCTCGTGCAGTAATTGAGATACAGATAGGAATTAAACGTGACTCCTTGCTCTCGATTTCGCAAATTATCAACCGGCATTATCGTGAATCGAAAAATTATGAAGCTTAGGAATCTGCAGTAATTTCTGTAATTTCCCAAAACGCTTATTGTATATAACAGCGTATATATACACTGATCCCGATTTCGACAAATCGTCGGTCAATATTAACGCGAATTCTTTTCACGTAAATTCGTGTGATACTTCTTTTTTATCGCATCACGCGATGCTTCACGGACGATCCCCGAAGTCTCGATTCTTCTCCTTCGTGTGCCTGTCAATTGCATTGGCCGAGGCCGAGAAAATTTCGATTCCCGCGAAATCCTTTCGACCACGAAATAAGACGCGGCGGAATGAGTCGCGATAGGAAATTTCTCGGACAAGTTTTATTCGGGATTGCGAATACGCGTCCCGAAGGGTATTCTCCCGTGCTCTTTTGCAGGGGCGGATTACTGACTTCTTGGGGATTGAAACTAATAATTGAATTGATTACTGTAAGAAAAGAAGTGATCACGGATAAACCCGATCACGGATAAACCCGACCACGGATAAACCACAGAAAACTCAATCACTTTTTCCATAGGAACATGTTGCATAAATACAGTAAAAGTATTGGAACTGAAACAATTTCTTTTGAGTTACAACTTGAATTTAGAAAAATTGTACGAATTTCAATTGCGGCGAATAAAGCTCGAAGTTTACGATTGAGGAAAACTTTTTGAGAAGGAAGAAGTTCTCGCAATTGTTTATCAAGTTTCTCTTTCTTTTCTCTATCTTATTCAGACTTCGAGATGCTACAGAGACACAAGCACAGAAATTACATTTATTTCTTGTAATAAAGATTGGCGCATCCTCTTCTGTTTGAATGCCGATAGACTTGGAAATTCATCTCACCTCGAAATTATGCGCTGTCTCAATTTCCTTGCTTACCCATCCCGTCCCCGTTAGCTTTCACGCAGAAATCCGCTCCTGTGCTTGCGCAGGTGGAAGCACCCTGTGACATGCATACGGCCGCGGCGCCTTGTATGCACCACGTATCGCTTTAGAGGAGAAAGAGGAGAGGAAGGGGGAAGAGAAGATACCGATTGAAATCGCGCACGGCGCGGCGGCAGCGGGTCCATGCTATTGACAGGCCGTCTTTTATAGGTATGTGCATCGCAATTCTTCCGCAATTTCGCCGTACCCCTTTTGGAACTCCTTTTTCCGCATCCCGACGGCAGCAATCCGACATTCGATATCGCGCTACCATCACCCCTTTATCTCACCGTGGTCTTTTCATTTTCCTTCTTTCCCGCTCGGTTTAGCCGACAAGTCTTCGTGCTTGTTCCCTGCGCGAATGCATCTTCAATTCGAGGATTTTTATATAAAGGATTTTTTATCACAATGTATTTTATAATGTAGTAGTAATATTTTACGTTAATATACGTATAATAGATATAATTGATCAAAGGTATTTTTGTTACCTCGACATTTACGGATAGTTTATTATTTGTACTTTGAAAATATAAATTATTTTCACGTTTTCAGTTATTTTTAGTAAGAACGTCTACTGAAAGTGTGATACAATTCTCGTACTTATTTTCGTACAGATACATTTTCTAATTCGGCACAAAAGCTTTTTTATCAATAGAACTGCCCTCATCTTTAGTAATCAGACGAGAGCAATAATTTTTTTAGTCTATTACAATTTTACGAAGCTCGAAACGATTCATATTCGATTTATTTCCGATTCGCGAGATGACCGTAGTGGTATTTTCGTCCGTTCCCCAAACCCGCCGAGTGTCATCAAATTCGATCACTCGCAAACCCGGTTCCTGGTTAGTCGTAGTTTACATCGACGCCTCGTAGCTCGCGCGGAGTTTGGGTTCGTGCCGGAGTTTGCGCGAAAATTGCATTTCGGTCGTCGTTGAGAATCAAGGCAAACGATATTTGATCTCGGACGGCATCGACTAGGGGTGCGGACGATGCAGCGGACAGAGTGCACTTTGCGCTTTGCACACGAGATATGATGTGATTTAGCAAACGGTTTTACATGAGAGATGCATTCGTCTCTTTAAATCTATTTCAAAGATCCTTCATATCGATTCTGTCATGTCCATTTCGATATTTCAATGCGAATCCAACGGATGTCTATTCTGATACACGTGTGAAAACAGATGTAAAGAAGTTGGAAGCACAGAATGCTTCTTCTTTCGTCTTGCAGACACGCACAATTAGTGCGGCCGTTCTTTTGAATGAACTTGTAATTTGTTAATGTCTTTATATTTAATCTTTGGAATCTAAAGAAGCTCGGGTTAAAATTAAGTTCGTAAGTAGGTCGGAGGAGCAATCCGTGTATTTTAGAGAGAAAGAGGAAGACAGAGAGAAAGAGAGAGAGAGAGAGAGCCTCAATTAATTTCTGTATTCTATGGATAAACTGTTAATTTTGGATCGCGCAACGGTACACGGCTAATTTGATTACTTAACATTATTTTGAGATATTTTCAATGACGTTCGAGATTAGAATTGACGTATTATACAATAGTGGTAGTTTTCCGCGCGCGCGCCCGCGCGCGCGATGACTCGTATTACTTTTCTCGCGGAATCAAACAATTTTACAACACACGTTTTATGAGGCATAATCGAATTATCCCACCTATACATTTACGCTCTATTGTTGTACGCCAATGCGTATGCCCAATTGTTGTACACCCAATTGCGCTCTTGTGAACGCCGCGGCCTATAAGTAATTCATTTATCCGATGCTGTGCCCGCGACACGCAACAATGGCGTTGCAAATGAA